TAATAATAATAATAATAATAGAGAAGCTGATAAGTATGACAGGTAAGAGACGACGGACGAAAGATATGTTTGAATGGTACCCACGATGTGTCAAAGGAACAGCAACAAGACAACTGACATGACAGGCCAATGACCTGACTCGAATGCATGGAGTCGCATAAATATGGGAAAGAATAGGGAGAGAAAGAGGATCTAATCGTATCGAAATAAAAATAAAAGCTACATAAACGAAGGTCCAGACTATGAATTAATTGTTGTTCCAGGTACTATGAGCTTCACATACATAGGTATAAATAACCGAATATAAGATAAGGCTGCAGTGTGTACAAAGACATGTTATGATGCAGTCCGTGTTTCATCTCTTAGCTTTGTGTTTCATTTTGTAAACACAGACCGAATTTTGCGTGTAGAAAGGAACAGAAATCATCAGTACAGCCTCCTACCCACCACGAACAGAACAGTCATGCGACTGATTTGTAATACGGATATGCTAAAGAATAGGGAGGGAGAAAACGGAGAGGGGACAAAGAGAGATAGAAGCTAACCCGCGGTACAGACATATGCTAAAAAGTAGAGAGGAAGAAAACGAAGAGGGAACACAGAGAAAGAGAGGAGGAAGCTAACCCGTGGTACGGACAATCACTGCCTGTCAATTGTGAGCCGACATTTTTTATGAGAATGATGTTTTGACTAGGTTTTTAATTATCAAATCATCAAGAAAGAGGAAATTGCTCCGCACAGATCAATTAAATTACGATATGATCTTACTATAGGTAAAGGAGTTTAAACAGCTGCCTCAGTGAAATATGGAAAAATTTCATTTTTGGCTAATCATATCGAAAAAAAGAAAAAATGAAGAAACGCTTACCAACACATTCACTTGGTTCATTCACAACCTCACTCTCCAATTCAACTTTTGTATGCATTACGCCACTGTCACCGCCGCATTCTGGTTCTGAAATTGATATCATTACGGTAGCAGTGCAGGCTGGCTTTCAGTAGCAATTAATGCCTGTATTATATACACATTATATACTTTATACACATTATTGTTTTTATTTAATGCCTTTAATACGTATGTATTAATGCTTTTAATACATATGTATTGTATTTGTTCAAATTTAAAGTTTTTAACCGTTTCCACGTCTTTCAGTGAAATACGGAGAGAGGCTTTTAATTTATTAATTTAACTAAGACAACGCAAAACCTACTTACCTTCTTTTTTCAGAGCTTCTACAACCAAGTTAGAAAAATCAGTAGCGGCATTTTCACTCGATCGTGTCGACTTGTCTCTTTGTGCAGTCTTAAAAATCTTGGCTAAGGACATCCTGTACAAAAAAATAAGCAGACCTTTAGATTACCTAATTAAAAGCCATTAAAGAACATCGCCATTGTGAACGACCGAACATTTTATTAAAAAGGTCCTGGTAGGTGATCGTAATGAAAATGAAAACTTGCATAATAGGCATGCGCTCGAACACGTTCAGCTTCCCGAAAAATCGGGTTTTCTCGCTGTCTACGGCGAGCTTCACGATTTCTGGCACGTTCCATAACTCGATAAGCACTATCCTCACGCAAACGTCGTTTACGCTCCGCATCCAGCATTCGGCGACGTTCAAGACTACGTCGCCATTCCGCTGCCGTCAGTCGTTTCCGAGGCATTTCACGACTCTTACTTTTCTAAATAGAAAAATCTAGTAGAGACTAAATAAGCGAAAGAACGTGAGGAAAAACGGCACACGAAATCGCAATCAACAAAAGGATCATCGTGAGGACAAAATGAACAAATTGATCAATATTCTAAATTACGCGAATATTTTTTCATGATTTATGCAAAAAACGCTGTGACAAGATGATGTATTAGATGTGCCTATCTGCCTGTCAAGCCAGTTGTCTGTTTGTTAGGATATTACAAAACCAGGAGTGCGGAAATTAAGAAGCAGAAATCTCGGGAACATATAGTTTCAGTCCACACACGAAGCCAGAACCTAAATTCCACCTGCATGTCTTCTTCTAGACTTTGGACCGCCGCCCAAACATCGTGTGTAAATCTACAAACCCGAATTCTACTTGCGTCGCCCTCTTTATGTGTTGACCTATGACATCGAACCCAAATTCTTATTGATTGTGTAAAACGAGAGTGGACAAAACTAATAAACAGAAATTTTATAGAGAGTGAGAGATGCTAGCAAAATTTAGGTTTCTCGCCGCGTACGAGATATGAGTTAAATGCCCAGCAGAAAAAAATAAGTTAAATATCGAGAAAAATATTTATGAAATTTGTTATACCTTGGCCAATAACAGCAAATCGAAATTTTGGCAAATTTCTGCAATTTCAAAACACAGCGATTTAACAGCTCCAAATTCCGATTTTTTTTTTTAGTTCACTGTGCAAGCTGCATGAATGCCTCAGAATTAGTTGCTTTGCAAACTCCTCATTTTTTTCACCTGCGCTCTTACCTATATTACCATGAAAACTAAGACAGTTGATCCGAGGAGCCCATGTTAATGGTGTTACTAGGATGGTTTCACTCGCCAAGCACAGCTATGTTAGGCTTTTCGGTCATGGGCTCGATACCTTCAGCTAGCATCTATCGCTTGTTCGAGTAAACATACCATCTTTTAGACGGCTGACCGAGTGGTCGGTTACTTTTTTGCCGGTACCACTTACTAATGTAAAGCGAATATCAGTTCCGGTAGAGCGAGCGACATACTCTTCTCATTGGATTTTAATTTTGCGCGGACACAATGATATATTGCATGATAATCATCCAATGGGATACCCACTGAGATTTTCGTATGGGCATACAGAGACGCGTCAAGCATCTCTCGCTCCATCGCTCTCGTGGTCACAGCCAGCAGTCGCGGTTCAACTTTCGTCAGTGCCCCATGTTTCGCATCCGTATGTAATTGTCTTCAACGCAGCGGTATTGAGAAGCGGGCACGGTCCTTCTGATTTGATAATTTGGCATCACTGACGATGTTGCAAAACTATCGAACCTTCCGTCTCCCGCCAAAAAAATCTTGAGGGTTAGCTAGACAAAATGTTTGTCACAAAAGCATATTGAATGATATCCAACAGAGATTCGATGTGTCCAGAAAACCCACTCACAACGGTCTACAAAATGCGGGCAACACCGCTACTTCAGCATTTATGAGCATTTCAAGAGAAATACGTAAAACGAAAACAATTTTCATTCAGCCCTCTTGTCACTGAAAAAAAAAAAATGCATATAAAATGAGAAAAAATGCTGGAGCGGTCAGGTTACAAGGCTCCAAAACAAAGTTTGGACAATATTGACAATGAATGCTACTTGCCACTTCGGAAATGGATGTAGTGGGTTGTTA